GTTCCAAAGCCGGCATTACCCGCCCAAAACAAATCCTAAATCTCAACACCACTGTACCTATCTCCCCATTACCCCCCACTTACCGTAGTGCTCTTAAAGATCCAAATTGGCATGCTGCTATGATAGATGAATTTAATGCTTTGATTAAGAATGACACATGGGAACTAGTACCCCCCTCCCCCCACCAAAATATCATAACTGGCAAATGGCTTTTTCGACATAAACTTGGCCCTACAGGTGAGTTATCCAGGTACAAAGCCCGATGGGTTGTTCGCGGTTTTAACCAGAGATTCGGTGTGGATTATGATGAGACGTTCAGCCCGGTCATAAAGCCGGCTACGGTTCGCATTGTGTTGAGTATAGCGCTTTCTCGGGGATGGCCCATCCATCAGCTGGACGTCAAGAATGCCTTTCTTCACGGGTACTTACAGGAGACAGTCTACGCCACTCAGCCCTCAGGATTTCAGGACCCGGCCAGGCCTCATCATGTATGCAAGCTCAAGAAGGCCTTATATGGCCTCAAACAGGCTCCCAGATCGTGGTACCATCGTTTTGCAGGTTTCATTCAGACCATTGGGTTCCACAGCTGTAAAACGGACACGTCGCTTTTTGTGTTCACTAAGGGGCCGGACACAGCTTATCTACTCCTCTATGTTGACGACATTGTTCTCACAGCATCCTCTGATCATCTCCTGCAGCACCTCACTCAGCGTCTTAAGGGGGAGTTCGCCATGACTGATATGGGGGATCTGCACTTCTTCTTGGGCATCAATGTCCATCGCACCCCCCGTGGACTTTTTCTTCATCAGACTCAGTTCACTCATGACATTCTCGAGCGTGCTGGGATGGTCACCTGCCGCCCCATCTCCACCCCTGTTGACACTAAGTCAAAACTCTCCGCCACTGATGGGCCAGCCGCCTCTGATCCTTCTCTCTACCGTTCCATTGTTGGGGCCCTGCAGTACCTCACATTCACACGGCCAGACATCACTTATGCAGTGCAGCAGCTTTGCCTCCATCTCTATGCTCCACGAGAGGCGCACCTGTCAGCTATGAAGCGGGTCCTCCGCTACCTCCGTGGCACCGCCACCCTGGGCATCTCTCTCACCCCCTCTCGGACGGACATACTACAGGCATACTCAGATGCAGATTGGGCAGGCTGCCCAGACACCAGACGCTCCACATCCGGTTACTGTGTCTTCCTCGGCGATAATCTCGTCTCCTGGTCCTCCAAGCGACAAGCCACCACCTCCCGTTCTAGTGCCGAAGCTGAGTACCGTGCTGTTGCCAATGCTGTCACTGAGGCCAGTTGGATTCGGAACCTACTTCTTGAGCTACGACATCCCTTGCAGCGTGCCACTCTTGTTTTTTGCGACAATGTCAGTGCCGTCTACCTCTCCACCAACCCAGTTCAGCACCAGCGCACCAAACACGTTGAGGTAGATATTCACTTTGTTCGCGATAAGGTCGCACTGGGGCACATCCGAGTTCTTCATGTTCCATCCTCCTCACAGTATGCTGATATATTTACTAAAGGACTTCCTTCAGTTCTCTTCCTGGATTTTCGCACAAGCCTAGGGATTCGTCCTCCACCGCAGCCGACGTAGCCGGGAGCATGTTAAATATATTTACCATATTTATTTATGTTAAGTATATTTAATGTATTTATTATTATATCATTGTATTATTGGTAGTTACCTTTTGTATAGGTTTCCTTACTTATACTCCTACCATGATTAGGAGTCCCATCTTGTATATAAATATGGTTGTACTCCTACAGATTCAATCAATTGAAAATATTCATTCTTCATTCTCCGCTATAAAAATCGAAATCGGCAGGAGTATGGGAAAAAATTGAAATTATCGCATGTCTTCTTCTTCTCTATCCCAATCGCAAGTCTTCTTCTTCTCTATCTCAATCGCAAGTCTCCTTCTTCCCTATCTGGATCGCAAGTCTTCTTCGTCTCTGGTCTATCTCAATCTTCTCTATCTCAACCGCAGGGCTCTGTCTCCGGTGGCGGAAGAGGAGACGACGCAGGTCCTGTCTCCGGAGGCGGCGAAGGAGGCGATGTTGTCCATGTCCTAAGCGACACAGACAAATTTGTCTTCCGCGACTCTCAACTCCTCTTCGGAGTAGTTGGTTTTCTATTTTCTCCAAACAATTTTGGTTTAGATTTCTAATCCCATATCATTTCTCTCGGATTCTAAAATACATATCTTATCATATATTCAAAACTCACCAAACAAGCCCTTAGAAAGTTGTGTTTTCTCTCTCCCACTTTTATTTCTTACTCTAGAGGAACAAAATAGCAATTTTTAATTTTTTTTAAAGGACACGATTGCAGTAACACTGATATTATTTGCACTGCAGTGCCACTACCATTTTATGGAACCTACGATGCTCTGTTTATAAGTTCATTCCTGGCCGTGTCTGAACTCACATCTAATTTCTTCAATTTTATCCCTAAAACTTTGTTGGCTTTGGGATCAAATTTTTTATTTAAAAATCAACACTACCCGCATGTGGGATAGTGTTTTTACTGTTTAATATTTATCAGAGTAAAAAAAATAAGGACCATCAATTTTGTTAAAGGGACATTATAAATGTTCTAATTAGAGTTGGTGTCGTTGCATAAATAATTTCACATTTTGGCTCGTCCACCAAAGTGGAAAATATCTTTTATGCGGTCCATTCCCTTTGTTCAAAGTTCAAACATTTTGCCGGCGGGGGAGAGAGTGATAGATATAGATAGATACGATCAACTCTCTACAGAACTTCTCAAAATCACTCTCCCTTCCCAATGCGGGAATTCTTGATTCCTTTCTTTCCGAAGTGAGACTTCTATTCCGAACACTAGGTGATAAACCCTAGTTTCTCAATTCGTCGGCCGCAAAAAGCTTCCAATTATCCGATTACTTGTTATATGTGCTGCCGGCGATGGGCTGCAATTTCAGATCTCCGATCAATCCATCTGCCGTCTTTCCCGATACCCAGAATTTGCAGAGCAATGCCCGGTCGTATCCAGAACGTCCGCTCGCAGCTGATTCAGCTTCTTCATTTGGCAGTTCCGACCTTGCGTCTTCAACCAGTGGCGGATTCAAATTTTCTTATGTTTCGGAGAAGTGCGCCAAAAGTTCGAGACCTAAGCCCAGGATGGCAAAGATTAGGAAACACTTGAAAAAGTCAGAGCCTGTTGGGGATGGCTTCGGGTATAATCCGTTCAAGCTGGGTCCAGAGAGCTCCGGTAGTGATTGTTCAGCTAATGATTATGCTGGTGGGGGTCGCGGCAGTGATTGTTCTGGACTAAACGTGAACCGTGGGAGTAATGGACATATTGAAAACTCTAAACAAGTGAGCGGGGCTGAGCATGGGGATGGGAATCCATTGTTTGTTTTCGGTGCTAATAAGAGCCAAACTCGTTCAATAACTTCAGAATTTGTGTTCGGATCCAATCAGAGTAGACCGAGATCCATGTCTAGTGTGGAGGGTGATGGCAATGTGCCTGAAGCTACTAAAAGCAGCTCAGTACCGAATTCAATTTTTGAAAATGCAGCACATTTACATTCCAATTTGGGGCAAAAAGCTTCTGACAGGCAACCAGGCCCCTTCAAATGCGAGAAATTTGGGGTTGGTGAATCAGTTCTTACTTCTAATGTAAGTACACTGCAACGTAACGACCTGGTTTCTAATAAGCATAGCAAGTCTATTAGCCTAGATAATAGTTCTGGTGACAGTAAGAGTTCTTCAGGAGTGGATTTTAACTTTCAATATCGGAAATTTGGTGCAAAACTGAATGGTCCAACTACAAATTTGTGTTCTGGGAAGAAAGAATCCAGTGGAGGTGGCCGATCATCAGTCCCTGAAATGAATGAGACTGCTGCATCTATTTTTCAATCGCAACAAAGCTTTTCAACAGATAGTGGGCTGACAGGTTTTGTTTTTGGTGCTAATGATGTAAAAAGTTCATTGTATTCTGATATGAAAGCACAGAAGCCTATTCGAAATTGGGAAGCATGTAAGGGGGGGAAATTGGGTTCTGAAGTGGCATCTGAGAAGGGGGATTATAATGAAGTTTTTGTATTTAAAGGAAGCAATGAGTTAGGGAAAACCAGCTGTGCAGAAAGCAGCAAGTTTGATGAGGACATGCATAATTCAAAGAATAAAGAGAAAGCACATATTTATGAGAATCATGGGTTTGTTTTTTGTAGTCCCAGTGTTTGTGGTGCAGATGTTTCTGAACTCTCAAACGAGTTTAATTCATTGAGCATGAGTGCTAACTTGACTAATAATTTGAGTGGTAAGTTACATTCTAATATTAAAAATACGGGTATGTTCTTTTTCGGAAGCAACCAAAATCCCTTTGGTTTTTCTACCCAGTGTGGAAATGCTGACAAGAATTTCAACAATCTGCATGAGAATGTGAATACAAGGGAACCTGGATATGATGAAAATGTTGGGAAGGTTGAAACAGCTCATGTCACATCTGGTATTGAAGAAAGGAAAACTAGCTCTTTAGGAGTAGGTAATCAAAACGTGATGACCAAGTCACTGAATAAGATTACAGAATTCAATTGCAGTGAGAAAATAAGCTCCTGGAGATCCTCTGATGATATGCATGGGAAAGAGAATCAGCCAATTAAGTTAAATGATTTGACTTTTGACGGGACCCAATTTCATGTCTCTCTTGAGGATGTTGGCGTCCAGGTAAACAATGCTGCTGCTGTAGCACCTTCTCTAAATAAAGATGATAAGACTGATCAAGCCGGCTTCAAAAGTTTTCAATTTGGTATGGAGGGAACATGTAGAGATATCAATGCATTTGGCTCTAGTGAAGCCTTTTCTTTTAAAGTTAATTTATGTTCAGGCTTAAGCAAGAAAATGGTTCATGACAGCAGGAAACACGTGAGCGATAAAAAAGTTAAAAAGAAGACCTTGAGCCGAAAAAATATGGCGAAAGATCAGGCTGATCAGAAAAATAATGAATCTCCTGGCTGTGGTTCACCTATGGACTTTTCTCCATATCAGAATACCAACTCTGAAGCAAAGAAGAAATGTCATGAGCCAAGTGAGACTTATCTTGAGGTTGACTCAGAGAACCACTTGGATGATGAGAAAAAAAATGTTCCCTCTGCTGAATCATCTTTAATAGATGGCTTAACAGCCATAAGGCGTCAGTACAAGAAAAAGTATAGGACAAAGGGTTGCAATTTATCAAACGAAACCAGCCAACAAAAATCTGGCTTTGTTACTCAAATGCGATTTCCTCGCCCGGGTTGTAATGATTCATCAGATGTCCAAAGTGGAGCTACTTCTCGCCCTAAAGGCAATGGAGTTCATCTACTCAATGCTGATGAGAGGCATGCCAAACAAGAGTTTCCTGACTTTGAAGCATGTGAGAAATGTCGAATCAGGTTCGTCATGCATTTTTGGAATCATTCAATTTTTTGATTGATTCTCATTTGACTGAATTGTGTTTTATATCATATTTTCTCAAATTGATTAAACTAATGCTAATGGTCCTAAGCACCTTACATTTGGCAGGGGAAACCTAGCCTATAAGGCTGGTGACTTATCCAAGGCTGAGGAGTTTTACAGCAAGGGCATAAGATCTTTTTCACACTTAAACATCCCTGAGCGCTGCATTCAGCCTCTATTATTATGCTATAGCAACCGTGCTGCCACACGAATGTCACTTTTTAGGATGAGGGAAGCAATCAATGACTGTGCAAGCGCAGCTGCTTTAGATCCTAGTTTTCTCAAAGTAAAGCTAAGAGCTGCAAAGTAAGGCCTTAACATTCACACACTCTCTCTCTCTCTCTCTCCATGTTAATTTTTTCGTCGTGTATGTGACTATTCATTATGGATGCACACATGCCATTGCAATAATTGCATAGGGTAAGGGAACATACATGCAGGCGTAGGGCTTAGCTTCACAGCAAAATAAAGTACTTGAAGTTTAAAAGCAATACACAGTCTGAGCGGCACTCCGATCTTGTTAATGTCATGACACCATTGCCTCATTATCATTTGGAGCACTCTGCATTAATTTCCAATTAAATGCGGAGCATTCCATCAGTAACGAACTCCGTTGGGGTCTGAGGGTCAAAATGGTATAATCCCAATACTATTGGGGTCTGGGGCCTTTAAAACAGGATTTTTTAGTTAAACTGTAGATCCAAGAGAAATTTAATGTTTCATTTTGATCTAGTTCATTATGTGCCGAAACTAAAACATCGTCAATGATGACTCTTTTCTCTCCATTGGCAATGGACGGTCACTTTGCTGAAACAAGGATCATTTAAAACCTGGTTACCTTGACCCTTTTCACATATTTTCTTGTGCTCCTCTAGAACCTTTCACTCATTATCTATAGAGGCCACTGGTAATCAAAATAAGCACATGGACTAAATTTGTAAGCAAGTTACCAGTAATTCCTCCTAAAACCATGCAGTTTCATCTCAAATTCTCAATCATCTGTAGCCCAGTAGTGATAGTCGCAAATTTACTTCACGCGGTGATGCCATAGTATTACTTTGATTCATACACATCTATTGGTGGATATTGTTGCATGTATATTGTATTCGGAAGAACCATGCTCATGCATCCATAAATAATTAATAATTTTTGGATTACTAGCTGTTACCTGTTACTGGGAGATGTGAAAGAAGCAATGGAAAATTACAACAGCTGCTTGGAATCAAAAAGCACGGTGTGCCTGGATAGGAGAATTGCAATTGAAGCTTCAAATGGTCTACAAAAGGCAGAGGTGGCATTTTTGTTATATTTATACTATTTCCATATTGGACTTGGTGAAACCTGTTTTGTTCTGTAGCCGATAATATTAACTACGGAGTACTATATCGGTTACTAGTCTACTATAGAGTATATCTTAGTGATTTTTTTCATACGGTTAGTGTTTAATGTGGATAGAGGGAAAACTCGATTACAAATGACAAATCTTTCAATTATTTCAGAACATGAAAGCAGGGAACAATCTTTAAATTTGTTTCCTGCATTGCAGAAAATGGGGGCTAAACTTTTCCTTTTCACAATACTTATTTATGTAACGGTTCTAGATTAGAAAGAACTGGTCTGCGAGCTTTCCAGTTCCTGTGGTAATTACATATGTATACTTGCATGACTACATTTAAGTATTTCCTATCATAATGCATCTAATGACAAATTGTAGATCACTAAATATGTTTCCAATGAAAGATAGAATCAGAAAGATTCTTTTTTTGAGACACGAGCGATACAGCATTTTCTTCATATCTTGGTCATGTATGTTTATACCTGGCAGTCTCTTCTCTTAACAATATCTGATTATGTAAGTATGTAACATTCTATTGCTCTGCAGAAAGTGGCTGATGGTTTGCATCTGTCTGTTGAACTCTTGCAATTGAAAACGTCTGATGCTGCAAAACGTGCTCTTGATATTATTGCTGAGGCATTGTGTATAAGCCTGTATTCAGAAAAATTACTTGAACTGAAAGCAGAGGGTCTTTGCATGGTTTGTAATTACAGCTTATATAACCATAATATTTATTTTTACTCTTTGGCATGGTTTCTACTCTATTCAGGCCATGTCTATAATAATTTTGACTTTTTACAGTTGCGGATGTATGATGAAGCAATTAAGCTCTGTGAGCAGACCCTTGACATTGCTGAAAAGAACTATGTTTGTCTTAGCATGGAAAACATAAATGATACTCTAAGGTTGTGGAGATGGCGCATTATGTCAAAGTCCTATTATCATCTAGGCAAGCTTGAAGCAGCTCTTCATCTCATTGAGAAGCAAGAGCAATTACTTGCCAAAGATAGGTCAATCCATAAATCTCTCTTTATATTCCAATAATTCCATTTTCGTATTTTTTCCACTATTTATTTTTTATTTAGGTTGATAATAATGGTGCTCTCATTTTTCTATCGTTAGATCTGGAAATAATTCCCAGGAGTCATCAATTCCTTTAGGCACAGTTATACGTGAACTTTTAGACCGGAAGGTAAGCTATCTTCCATTTTGTGCTCTTAGCGTTGGAGTACTCTGTAGCTTTAAATTGAAACTATACTGCAATGCTCTTTTTTCTCTGACTCTTTGTTCTCTCAAATAGAAAGCAGGAAATGAAGCTTTTGAATCTAAGAAGTTTGCAGAAGCATTGGATCATTACAATGCTGCTATATCAAGCAGCGTTGAATCACGGCCTTTTGCAGCTATCTGTTTCTGCAACCTTGCTGCTGCCCATCAAAGTTTGGGGCAGATTATTGATGCCATTGCTGATTGCAGTATAGCCATGGCTCTAGATGAAAATTACTCGAAGGTTTTCATTCAATTACAAACTTCATTTTACGCCATATAAAGAATATCTAATTTTCTTCTTTCCTTTTGTGCTGTGTAGCCATCTCTCTTTCGTCAAAGATATATGCACTTTCATTGCCATTTCTTGAGTATTTTATCAAGATAACATATTCATGACTTGGATTTTAAGGCCAGATTAGCTAGAAAATTTAGTAGTATAATCAAAAATTGGCCCTGGAATTATACACATGGGAAGATAGCTGATCTTATGCTGTACATTTATTAATATTCATATCTTGTACACAATTACTAACCATTTATTTCAGTTGTGGAACTTTATGAAACTTGAAAATACATTGTTATCAGAATGTTTGACTATTCTTTATCGTTTGTTGTTGCATGTTCTGTATATAAGATGAAAATCTGTTCTATATTCTGATAACTTGATGCATATTAGTAATAAAACTATCTAATATTTCTATCTGGCCTGACCCCAATTCTTATTAAATTTTTGTAGCCGGTTTGACCCCAATATAACTCTAGTTATACCATTAAACACTACAACAGTTTTTTCACTACACTGGCTGGTTCAATGACCAGTCCGGTTAGGAGATCCTTGATAATAAGCGGAAGATATGAATCTACTTTCTGTTTGCCTCTATGATGTTAAACAGTTTGCAGAAACACGGCAGTAAGTAGGATGATGGACTAGTTGTGTCTCATATTTGTCATAGAGGTTTTTGCTGTTGGATCTTGCTACTAGGAAGTAGGAATTTATAATGTAATATATACCACATATTGATCTTTTGTTAAAAGCAGCTTAAAATGAGGTTTGAGTGGTATGATTAACCTGTTTACACAGATTTGTTAGGATCTTTGCATCCATCGACATAAATGCATGAGGTCAAGAACCCTATGCTTCCTTGGAAAACAATACAAAAATGAGCAAGGATTTTTTGACATGGTTCCTACCCCCCGGGTGGGAGACTTCTGTGGAGGATAAGTTGTGGAAAGCTAGGTTGAAGTGGTTGGGCACGTGAGGGATGTGAGAGGCTTACGGTGGTGGGCTGGAATGTGGGAAGGGTAGACCAAAGAAGCATTTTGAGAGATATGACTAGGATAGTTTGCCAGTTTGGTACGTGTTTGGGACTGGTAGTAGTTGGCGTGCTTGTCTGTGTGCTTTATATGCTTGGTGTTTGTTGTCTCATTGGATTTTTATAACTTAATCTTTTGCTTGCTTTGTGAATTACTCGAGCTGGGGTCTCTTGGAAACAACCTCTCTACTTTCGAGTAGGGATAAGGTGTGCGTACACACACCCTCTCTCACTCTACTCTTGTGGGATTCTACTGGGCTCTTGTTGCACACACACACATATTCAGTATATATCAGTTGTTGTAAGAAAATATTAGAACACCTTTCATGGTTTCATATATTCTGGCTGTGGAGTCTTTCAGTTGAAAGTTTGAAATGAATGAGTATGACTCTCATATATTCTGGCAGGCAGCTTCAAGGAGGGCTACTTTGCATGAGATGATAAGAGACTATGCGCATGCAGTTACTGATCTTCAGATGCTTATATCTCTGTTAGAAAATCAGTTGAATGAAAAGGCACATGAAGCCAAATCACAAGATAGGTCTAGTAGCAGCAATACTCTAAAAGAATTAAAAAAAGCTCGCCAATGTCTCTCCTCAATTCAGGAGAAAGCAAAAAGTGAAATTCCTTTGGATCTCTATTTGATTCTGTGAGTTCATATCTCCCAATGCTTGAAAAACTTGTCCTGAAGAGAAAAAGGGACAATACGCCCCTTGATGTTGTGATTTGTCAGGCTTTTCTTTTAACTATCATCATCACTGGGCCGGTGATATTAAATTTGTTCTCCATTAACAATATAAATTCATTCAAAAACTATAGTGGCAGCATTTTACGATGGATGCATTTCCTGTCACAACCTTCATAAAAATGAATAATGAGATCAAAATTTTGAAACAATCATCATGATGGGGATTGCCACTTGGATGGAAAATATTATGTGACAAAGATGGGTTGAGATATATTGTATTTGTCATGTTTCCTTATGAGATAGATATTGTAAAATTAACCTACCAATAAATATTTATATCTGTGCGGCAGGGGAATTAGAGCATCAGACCCTGAATCTGACATCAAGAAGGCATACAAGAAAGCAGCCTTGAAGCATCATCCTGACAAGGTCTTGAGATTGTGAATCAGTTGTATGTTGTTGAATGGTGGGCTAATGTAAATACTATCTTCTCATGTTCTGTAGTCAATGCTCTGTTGTAGGCTGTTCAGTTTTTGGCAAAAACTGAGAGCATGGATGGACAGTTGCGGAAGGACATCTCAAATAAAGTTCAGAAGGATGCTGACCGTCTCTTCAAAATGATTGGGGAAGCATATGCAGTTCTCTCAAATTCTGAGAAGGTATGTTTGTGCTCTCTTAGCCTAGGACTCGTTTGGCAACTATTCCTGTTTTGTGTTTTGGGTTTTACTAGTATTATCTTTACTTTTTTTGTTTCCAGACTTATAATAAAATTTTACTATGTTTAGTGAACCTGTTTTTTTATATGTGATATACTCTCCCGTTTCATTTTACTTGCCCATTACGGTGTATGAAGTTTGATGGAAGTTATTTTCAATTCATTTCATTTGAAAAATGGTGTAAAATTAAAAAAACAATTATACTTGTATATTTAAAAACTACATTAAGAGGCACAGAGTCTATGAGAGAGAAGTTTTGGTATCTTTGTTCGGTCATTCAAGCGGATGGAGAGATTGATGGGGATGTTGTTTACCGTATTAGAGCCGGTTGGGCGAAGTGGAAGTTGGCAACAAGGGTTATATGTGATTAGAAGATTTCCGAATGGATGAAATGTATGTTTTACCGCTCTATGGTTGGACCGGCTATGCTAACGGTGCAGAGTGTTGGGTAGTTAAAAAAGCCCATGTCCATCAAATGCATGTTGCTGAGATGCGTATGCTGCGGTGGATGTGTGGGCAGATGAGGTTGGATAGGATCTGGGTGAGATTTTCTAGAGATGTGTGGGCGTGGCACTTATGGAGAATAAGCTGCGAGAGGCTAAGTTGAGATAGTTTGATCACGTGAAGGGGCGTGAGCCTGAGGCCCCGATGCGGAGATGCGTAGGCTTATGATAGTATGTGGGTTTAGTTAGCAGGAGTAGACCCAGAAAAAACTGGAAGCTTGTAATTAGGCATGACTATTATTTTATCGAATGAGTAATGCAAATTGACAAAGATTGAGGATAAAGTTTGACCTATGAATAATAAATGGATCAAGTAAAAGAAATGGAGGGAGTATATTATCTATGTATATACTTTTTTGCGCGTGTGTAAAGACACACAAACACAGACACATACATGATACATGCATACATACACTGAGAATGATACAAGACTTCATTATAGCGATGAATGCCAAAGTTGGCAACATGTTTTGCGGAGTCTGTGATGCTATATTATTATTCCATCTACATGCAGCGTTCAGATTACGACCGTGAAGAAGAAATGAGGAGTGCACGCAAACAGAAGAATATGAATTGCAGCGGCAACAAATCATCTGAATCGTACAACTCCCCATTTGGACGAAGCAGTTATAGACGCTACGGGCAAGAATCATGGAAAACGTATGGGAACTCCTATTCCGATTGGTAAACGATTGCAGGATTATTGATCTTCACTTGCGTTATATCTACCCCGGGGCGGAATGAGATTTCTTTCGTGGAACTCAGCACCTTCAAAGGCAGCCAACCAAGTTCAAAGTGATGAAGAAAGCTTGAAGTGGGAACAGAGCTCAAAGCTGCTAACCAGAGAATTGGCCTCACTGGATAAAGGTTTCTAATTGTGGACTCCTATCACTTTTTTTTGCTGAGGACACCAACCCACTGAAGAATAAATACAGAGTATTTTTATTTTTATTTTTGTGTAGTAGTGCTTTTGCCCAACTTGTGTGCAAGCATGCTACATTGCTACTGCTTATTTAATGTTTTTGTCCCAAAAAACAAAAGTCATGTTTCTAAAACATTTGTCATAGAGAGTCATCTTTACACAAAAAGAACGCTATTGTTTGGAGTTTCATGCGATTTTGCAAAGACAATGAAATGAGAAATATGACAAATTCAGTCATACAAACAAATAGTGGTGAAATTCTTTTTTAGTATTTATACCACTTGTATACAATTACTAATAGTTATGCCAAAGAGATGCCCGTTGTTTTTTATTTTTTTTACAAATCTGCCATCTCTCTAACAAATGATACTATGTTCATATATTTCACCATTATTTACGATCTTCCATTTTAATGAGGAAAATGAGAGATATCTTTCTCCTACTTTCCATTTGAATTCTATTAACCAAATAAAGCGTAAGGAAAATGTTGAAATATAAAAACTTAATAGTTGACATTTGTTTAGAAGAAGAAACAAATATTGCACCACATACGGAGTATTATTTACTTTATGGTTACATATGTTTTTAGTCCTTGTAAAATTGGCGAATTTTGTTTTGGTTCTCTGTAAAATATTTTTTGTCTAAATGATCCTTGCAAAAAAATTATTTTGAAAATCGTCCTTAAACATAATTAAAATTTTTAGTTTGTTGAGATAATACATTTATTTCGTACTCAACAACTTAGTTTTACGTTTCTAATTGCTTCATACACAATTCATCAATTCTCATGTCACAAATTGTTTCCTTTATCAAATTACATCTCCAAGTCCCAATTTTTTTATATTACTCCGTATATTTTTAAGAAATTTGGGAATTGGAGATGTAATATGAATAAGTACAAAATTTAAGGTATGGAAATTGTGTTAAGGTAATTAGGAATGAAAGACTAAAAATGTTAAATAGAAAATAAATGTGTTGTCTCAAGTAATTAGAAATGCTAATTACATTTAAAGACCATTTTCAAAATAAATTTTTTTGTAAGGATGACTTTAACAAAAATTATTTTACAGTGACTAAAAACAAAACTCGCCTATTTAATAGGGATTGAAAACATATTAAAGCCCTTTACTTTTATTAGGTTACTATTTTACTCAGAGCTTGATGCGAAGACATTAAAGAAGTCAAGTTAAACTTAACTAAGAGTTTTTCTTTGCCTTTTAATTTTAATTAGAATCCGGAATTCGACAATTAGAGATTGAAAGTTGAAAATCTAAAATTTAGACCATACTCTTTAGGCAAGATACTAATCTAGTTTCAAATAAATTCTTGTGTCCTAAGGTTAAGATATTACCCATTCTAAGAAGGCCTTTTGAATCCAAAGGTTTGTATGATGAGGACGTTATTTGGTCGGGAGTCAGGGAGCAGTGCTCTCGAATTTTTTAATAGGCTATATGAAATAACCGAAATTTTATTTCATAAAGAATTAATTATTTGCAATAAAATATATTTTACTAGAAAAATTATAATTAACCTAATTAGATGGAGTCACAATGTCACATTAATTTTTGTTGGGGGCATATATACAAATATTTAGTCGGGGACATATGCCACCAACTCCTTCCTACACACTACATTAGCCAATGGCCGCTATAGGGACAAGGCAAAGTAGGGGAATTTGTAAAGGAAGTTATTAGATGGAACTAAGCAACACAAAACTCTTAAATATCATGACATCCATTCTTGGTGTCAAAAGAAGCTTGGTAAATAGTGACTATTCTAATATTCCCGAATCTCATAATCAAAGGCTAAAATTTAAAGATAAATAGAACAAACTAGTATTAGATAGAAATGTACTCCCTCCATCCTATTTCATATCGCATGTTTCGATTTATGATTTTTTACTGAAATAATTTTTAAATCATTTTATATGAAAAAATTATATATAATTAAAAAATAAAAATTATATATTTAAAAACTACTACATCAAAAATTTACAAGATTACATAATTATATTATTTTATTAAATGACTAATGAAAATAGAAAAAGAAACTGAACAAAATTTGATCTTGTACATAGTGAACAGACAATTGAATTTGAGACAGAAATAGTATATTTTTATTGGTGCTTTGTCACCACTTGAGTAGACCAGTATAAGGACTAAAATTACAACTTCAGCATTTCAGCACAATTTTTTGGGAGACCAAAATGTGAAGTCTTCAGTTGAAGAGAAACAGAATATGAAATCAGAATGATTGAATTCTAATACTCCATAAATAGTCATACACGAAAGTACCCATAAAATCATTAACATCTCAAGATTTTGAATCCAGGACACTGATTCACAATTCCAATACTCCAAAAATAGTACAGTATTATATAAAAGTTCCAACAAAATCAGCAATAACTAAACATTTAAATCGGCAACTTGACCAAAACAAGGAACTCTTTGCCAAACAACAATTCTTCAGATTCGGCACTAAAACTATCGAGCAGCCTGCGCCTGTGTCTGGGCATGTTCGAGAAGCTGACTGACCAATTTGTATGTCCGCCCAGAGAGAGCTTTGGTATGATCAATCAGCTGCTCATACCTGCATTTGATTCACACACACACACACACACAAGAATAACTATCAATACACAAAACATTCTAGGAATAGTTTTCGAATCACAACCCACTTTTTCCCATTAAACTTACACATTGGGTTGTGTGGGTTCCATTAATACAGCTCCCGTCTTGGAATCAATCTTGGCATCGAGCTTAGAAGTTCTGATAAGACTCAAGATCCATCGCTCAGAATCCTCATAATTCAAATTCAGTTTCTCAGCAAGGACCCTGTTACAACCAATGTCACATAATAAGATCATTATAACATGGTTGTTTATAGTTTTACGGAAGAAATGCAATTTACAAGTATAAATTCCTGGATACAAATGGTTATGTGTAATCATTTCTTGCTTTTAATAGCTTGTCGGGTGCTGGGTAAATATTTGTTAAAGAAGCATTTGTTACGAACCCCATATCGATGCGTCGATGAATGCGACAGTAAGTCTCAAAGATAAAAAGGCGAGCATTCTCAAGGAATTCATCTCTCAATGGCACTGTTGAATAATTCCCCTCTTCCACTCGTTTTCCAAGGAATGGGTCATTCACAATTACCTGAAGATACAAATAAGGATGGTACGTTAAAATCATGAAGGAAAATACATGCATGTTCCACATCCAAGGGGAGCATCAAATGTGGGACTACATTGGAACGGAAGGTTTACCTCTTCACACTCTTTCATCTTTTGCTGTGCTGCATCGAAGTCATAGTTGACATAAACACAGGCTAGAAACTCAGTGATGGGGTCCGCTTGAGAGTACTGGTCTGGCTGAATAACCTTTATAAAATCTTTAAACTGTGGTCTTCTTCTTTTGTTGACAATGAAAGCAGTAGCCAAATAACGCAAAAGATGAGGCGCATTTGTTTGGATGGCATTCAAGTACCTAGGATGTAATTCCAAAATATTAGATAAATTATATGGCCAGGGGAAAATGATGTCATGAAATTTCAAATTCAAAACCAATTTTAAATGGTTATAGAAAGCAACACATTAAAATTATACGCAAATTTCTTAAGATCTAAGATCTAGTACAAAAAATGTAACTGCACCGGAGGCAAAATATGCAAGATAGTGCATAATAGAATAAATAAGAAGCAAGAATTAGTACAATCAAGTGACTGGAAAAGAAGACAAATAAACAAGGATATAAAAGTCGCCATACTTGTCTTGATTAAAAAGGTCAATGATCAGGGACCTTCCATTCTCATGGTTGAAGAAGATGAACAGGCTCCAATGCATTAACCAAATTCTGCTTTGAACTTGATGCAAGGGCACTGAGAAACTCTGAGATATAGTTATTTAAAAAAAACTTCCTTAGCCTAACTCTCTAACCAGCAGAATAAATTAAATAGAAATATCCACACGTGAAATTTTTCTAGGGAATAAAGAGAGGAAAATACACTACCTTTGAGTCAATAATTTCCTTCAAGCGATTCAGTTCCTCTAGAGCAATATCCCAATTCTGCATTAATATCTCAGCAGCTAGTTTCCCCCACAAAGCACTCAACATTCTGTCACTGTTAGTGCAGAGAGCTTGGTATTGATACAGATAATCAGCAGCACCCGAATAATTACCACACTCAAACTGAAATTTGGCATATTGATATAATGCCTCTATTTGCTCCGAACCAATCTGACAGAAACAATAGTATACATTATCTGTGGAACGTACTCAAGGGATTCCTCATTGAATAATATGAATTACAAATTCATCAAGGGGCACATTAACAATCAATGCTTGTACCATATCATGACCTCAAATACTGAAGTGCTCATGAAAATAAAGTTTATATTCATCTTAAACTGGTTTAAATATAGAACTCCAAAATCTAATGCCACTCCCCTCCTTACAATCAGAAAATTTTAAAAAGTAATATTTTCCAATCAAACAATGCAAAGTATCCACCAACTAAAATCCTTTAAATCACTAATGCACAATCCTTTTTACATAGACTACAGCCAAAATTTCATCTAACAGACTGCATTTGGTGTATTAGTCCAAGACTCCAAGTGTCATAAACTTAAGTACTTGACGACAGTGCAATTGGTACTTTAAATCACATGAGCTATACTCAAGTATTCAACCATATATACCTGGTATCGATCATTAAGTAATTGAAGATTGTAGTGCTTGTCAGCTCTCAACTCTTGAACTGCATTTGGATTCTGCAAAAACTCAATCAGTGGGGCTGCACCCTCCTCTAGTGCCTTCAACCTTGCAACGACCTCAACCCTTCTATCCACCATTTCTGGAAATAAACACCAGCATATAAAAACATGTATAAAGCTACTAAGATTGCTAAGTAACAGACATTTGATTATTCTATAGCGTATTTTGGAAAGTTGCATCGGAAGAATGACTGTACATGAAGTCCCTTAATTATCAAAACCTAACTTTGCTAAATCAACTGTATTTGTTAAGTATCAGAAACATGAGGCACTGTGTGAGCCACGAAATATAAAAAAATACAAGAGAAAGTGCAATCTGCACGAAGGGTTCATACTTATTCCAGATATATCTTATCAGGCATCGAAGAAGCAAAATAACAGATCAGATGCAAGTTCCCAGGATCAAGATGACAATGCATGAAATTGACATACTCTTATCATCAACAACCAAGAAATGTGTCACATTGCCCATGTTAAACAGTGAACCTACTATTAAAAGAAATTAAAAAAAGACACAGAATAACCGAGAAAGAAAGGTATATTGTTGCCCCAAAAAGAAACCATGAAGCTTTAATCTTGGAAATTTGCTATGTACTACAAAGGATAGCTTACAAACAGTTGAACATAGAAAAAACGAAAGCTGCGAGGGAGAACCATTTAAAGTTTCTAGGGTTGGTGTTGGGTAGAAGAAGCCTTGAGGAGAATTTACAAAGCTTCACCCTGAGGCAATACTCATGCAGTAAGCCTGAATGGATGTCTAAAGCAACGGTTGGGTCTAAATCATGGAAAGGAGATCTACATATAGAAAAAGATTAAAACTTTCACGCAGAAATTACAACACGACAACAAAATCCTACAGTCCAAAGCAATCAGATAAACTCGAGTGTAACCGACAATTCCAGATGCAAGGGCGCACACAAGCACACACATATGACTTCAATAGGTTGAAACCAGATTCAAAACCATCAGAAAAATATGATTTTGCTAATCGGGGAAAAAATCGAGCACAAACCGATGCGCGTAGACAGAAGAAGAAGGAAGGATGGATACCTTGGGGGACATCTTCGGTGTGGTAGAGGGACTTGTGAATGTCCATAGCATAATCGACCATGTTGGTGTCCTTGAGAAGCTCGATCTTCGTCTTGAGAATATCCTCATCCGGGTAGAACTGCTGCTGTTGCAGGAACTCCAGCAAGGGGAATACCAGGTGGCGGTCGAGCTGGGGAGCTATCCGCCCTGTGAGATCGAAATTCGCGGCCGCCGCCATAGAATCGGAGGAGTTTAGGTAAAGTGAGTCTCGGAGCTATTCAGGCCGGTAGGGGGGATTAACGCGACAGGCCCTGCTTCCTTTTAAACTGGGCTGCTACTCTGATTACCTCAATCCCTCCCTTACATTGCCTTTGTTTTGGATGGATCATAACAAATTTATGTGAAAAAAGATTAAAACATTCAGAAAGTGTTAAAATAAGAACTCTATATTTTTTTATCTCAAAATAAGAATTCTAATATCAATAGTGTAAATATATAATATCCAAAAATACTATGAGATATTGAAATGTTGTCATAATGTCACATTGCAAACGCATATTTTAAAAATAAAGAACTCCTAATTTTAAGAAAAAATATCATGTTTTACTACTATTTGGGATAATTTCTTAAAATTCAATTATTAATTGCATCTGAATATGTTTATACGAAAAATATTCGTTTTCGTTTATCAGTATTCGCATAAGGAGATGCGATTGGTAAATAGTACGGAGTAATTTTAGATTCTTTCTCTTTAAAATTTGATTCGAATCCATTATACTTTTTCCAGACCGTCATAGATCTTTTCAAACTCACTTTTTGTACATCTATCTCAATTTGAATCGTTTGTTGTTTACGAAGTTTGGCTGAAAATAGGTAAAGAACGTTGTTAATGTTTATATTATTTTCTAAAATGGGTATTGAAAATGGGTAAAGAACGTTGTTAAAGCTTGTCCTTTTGAATAATAAACATGCAATTTAAATTAGGACGGTAGGAGTAGTATTTAAGAAGAGTTGAAAAATAATGTATGTAGATGATAGTAGATGAAGGGTCTGTTTGGGAATATCGTTAGCTTTTTAAAAAACGCTATCTACGAACAACATTTAGTGCTCTCAAAGTTAATTTGCACCGTTAAAATTTTATCAAAAATGCCAACACCAATAAAAAACACTAATTCCAAACGAGCCCAAAGTATATTACAGAGTAAAAGGGTGAAATATAATAAATAAAGTGGCATAGTTGTTTATTTTAAATATTAAAAACGATAATTTGAAGATCTTTTTTCGGACAAATAAAAAGAACATCTCGAAAGATCTACAATAAGTTATGATTAAAAAAACAAGCATGAAATAATTGATACTCTATACTCCGTGTACAATAGAATCATTGGATAGGAAGCCAAAACAGGCGCGGTTAAAGAAACCAATGACTCCCATTCTCTGTGTTCCAAAGACCACACACACAATTGCCTCAAACATTTGTGTTTGAAGACATTCACATTTAATTTCTTCCATTTGCATAGTTTCATTCTGGAGAAGGAGAAACCACATCAAATATATACCAATTTGTCCTCCCATTTGGAAGATACACACACGATGACGGCGTGCAATAACCGATTCATCATCATCCTCGTCGCCGTATTGTTGTTGCACATTTCATCGTCACAAACCGCATCCGGTCACGGTCACGATCACGAGGAAATACGGTTCAGCTACGTGAAAGAACACCACAATGGCCCAGAAAAGTGGGCATCACTTCACCCAAACTACACGGATTGCAACACGGGGGACACCCAGTCTCCCATTGATCTTAACGACAACAACGTGCAGGTCACCTCTAGCCTTGGCGAATTGATACGAGAGTACAAGCCCGCACCCGCTGTCCTTATTAATAAAGGCCACGCTCTTCAGGTAATAATAATAATAACGTTAGGCGTCGACATCTAGTTACACATTAGTCCGAGGGGAGTATATAAAACATTTCCTCATATAGGATCTTCAATGTTTTTATATTAAAATAGAACGTTTTGTGCACTTTGCTATCTTTTTCAAAACTCCCTTCTCACCAGAAGATAATTGATCGACAAATCCGATCGGGAACAAGGTCGTAATATATAATATTCGTCTCAAAAATCATGCAGATTGTGTGGAAAGAAAAAGCAGGGAAAATCGTGATCAATGGCACTAACTACTCACTAGTCCAAACCCATTGGCATACTCCCTCTGAGAACACTGTGAATGGAAAAAGGTTTTTGTATCTTCATCTAAAGAACAGTTTCATTTTTTTTCTTATTTGCAAAAAAAAAAACCAAAAACCAAACATTGTATATTGTATGGTAACTTGCAACACCTATAACATCACATTGACAGATTTGACATGGAGATGCACCTGGTTCATATGAATGCACGTGACGAATTGGCTGCTGTTGGGATCTTATACGAAATTGGAGCCCCGGATCCTTTTCTTGAAAATGTAAATGTAGAATACTTATAAGCCAATACAAATAAGATATCGTATTTTTCGTCCTATCAACGCGACATTTTAGATTGACTGATGAACAGTTACTTCCCTAAATAACATTACACTTTGGTTTTTGATCCAGTTGATAAGCCATATCAAGAATGCTGATCATGAAGGTAAAGATTTAGGCATTATTCACCCAGAAAATATTGGATATGGAAGCAATGAGTACTACAGATTCATCGGTTCCCTCACAATTCCCCCATGTTCACAAGGTGTTCTATGGACAGTTATCAGCAAGGTCTGCCCTATGTTCACATTTTCTATTTCTATTACAAAATCTTTTTTAGATATCGTATTCTTTATTTCATAAAAGTTTGTCATTTCAATCCCGCCAAACGGGCTAATACATAATGACCTTGTGGCGTTTATAGGTGAAGACAATATCAAAGGAACAATTAGACGCATTAAAGGGTGCCGTTGATGAGGTAAGGACTAGTTACTCCATCTCTCCCAGTGCATTTGTAAAAAAAATCAACATGGGAAAACTTAGATTGCTTGTCAATACAATGACATTTTTTTTTGCAAGATAAATCTAATGAAATGTATTTTTTTAAAGTAATATGCAAAGTACTTTTTGTTTAATTTAACAAAGGTAGTATTATTCAGTCTTGAAACATTCTTTTGAGTCCAAACAGAAAAATCTAATGCCTCAATTTATTTATTTATTTATTTTGGTCAGGGCTATGAGCAAAATGCAAGGCCAGTGCAGCCCCTAAATGGAAGGACAGTTTATCTGAACAAACCATAGGACTGTTGTGGCCTATAATTTTTAGAGGACACTATACCAGTGCAACTTTTTCATCTTTTGTAATCCATTGCAAAAGATCTGTTTTTTTCATAGAAGTAACACTTTTTCCTTTGTTAGTGTAAAACATATACGCCTAATGTTAAATACTCTCTCAGCTTGTGTATTTGTCCCAGATTGTAAGAACACAAAATAGAACATACGGAGTAATAATTTCTCAGCATCATTCATTTTAATCTATAAAGAAATGAACATGTGACATACTCTGTACAACAGTACTTTCTAATCTAACCAAATACCAATTAAACACTATTCATTTTCAACACTTTTTTTGAACTCCATAAAAAGCAAACCATGAAAGTTTTTATGGGACAAAGGGAGTAATTGGTAACAAGTAGGGAGTGTACCTTAGTTTATCAGCATTAGTTTCTTCAGGCATGATGCTGAGGAATGCAGTGATGATATATAGGAATATGTTAAATGCATACATAAAGGTAATGCAATCTACTAAGTTTTTAATCTTGTACCAGCTTTCGACCAGTACGATACGTCCATACTAGCACAAAAATTCTTGTATCCGAGACAAGATTTTGACAACATGGATACCATCCAAGATTTTACGAGACAAACACGAATGCCAATATGTCACATGTAACTTTCAATCTAGGTATTGTATGCCGTTTGACAGCCGAGGTTTCATAAGGCAGCATGAGGTTCAAAACTATGTCTGCAATCCGATATTTTTCATTAAAAACGTGAAATAGTATTTGACACTTTTTTACTAAACACATCTAACAGCATACTCAAGCTCCATAATGTGCATTTCACGCTTATGACCAAAAAAACTCTCAGAATAACACACGACTCCGGTAGAGTGTGGTTAAACTAGTTTTGCTTACATGGGGGGGNTGGGAATGATGGAGAATGTGATCTTCGATAAAGGTAGAAATGAAAAGGTAGGAGTGATCATATCCAGACTGCATGCGGAGAAGGAGAGGGATGCTGCTTTTTCCACACGCTTCTTCAAATTTATGAGGTAAAAGCTGATCCTTTAAGAATTTGTCATCTTCTCCCTACCAGCAATTCAGTTGTAGATTATTAGAAAATTCACAAGCAGAACAAGAATAAGAAGACAGTTTTATCGATTCAAGACCTGGAAGATTGGCTATCATTTCAGGATTATCCATTTAATACCTAAAAGAATGAAACTATCAATCCAATGCAAACCCAATTCTGAATTTTGGTTCTTAGTCATTTATAGTTATTTTAAAAAAATCACCAGCTTTAATGCGGATTATTTTGTCTATTGAGCAATTCTCAAGGAATATTAATAACATAAAAATGATTTTTTATAATCAAGAATTGTGATTTTTTAAACACATATTGGTATTAAGACTTGGTTTTCATCTTTCATATCTTGAATTGAAAGATGGCCTATTTTTCAGGGCCCAATGTGATAGAACAAATTAGCCGATTATGAGTGACTAACAAACGAGACATGAGTAAATTTTGAACTCAAAGAGAAGGACAGGGGGGGGGTTCACATTAAGTTTACGGTAATAAGTTATACAAGTAGAGGTATCAGTTCAGGTTGGACCCATTAGGCCAGAAAGCATGGCAGTGCAATGGCCAATGGGGGTGTGATGGTTGAAAATGTGCATTAGGTTTGGAAGAGAGCCTAAAGCGGCTGGCTCGATGGATCCCAGGTTTAGGAAGGCTAGCCCACTTCTTGAGTGGGAGAACTAGGAGAAGCCCATGGCAGACCGCCACCGTTCCATGTTTTACACCCCAATGGCCAGTTTTGACAGTACTATATAGATGTTGAAAGCAGTAAACATACGAAAAAGAGTTGGTAAATTTAATCTTTAAAGCACAATAGCACCTAGACCTAACAATCTAGTAAAGAGTACATGGGCAAAGACAGATGAATTCAAATATCATCCAATAACAATTGGACTGCCAAGTTCACATTGAGCAATTTACCTGATCAATTAAAATGGTGGAAGACAGATTTGAAGCCCCTAATGCAAGGCAGGTAGCATCATATTGCTGTGAATACAAAATACTAGTATCACCCCGCGTGCAAGCTCAATACTCCTACAAATACTACATTAAACATATAAACCTAACTGGTGAAAATGTGTTCCCTCAGGATCACATACCTCCCAATCAGCTTTATTCTCGCCCAAGTAGTTCTTGAAAGCCTTCTGACCCCAAGGACAGTTCATTGGATTCACAACTGGAGCAAATGCTGACACTGACTGAACATACACAACAATAATTGTAAATTACCAACAGATGGAATCCTGAAATGTTTATAGTAGGGCATTTAAAGTAGCATAGTATGAATACAAATCAAAACCAAATGAGTTAATGATATAAACGTGCCGCACCACAAGATATGTTGGTTGTGGGATTAGGAATGCAGTCCCGGACTAATTTATATTGCATGCCTAGAGGAGTAGTGCACATAGTGTTATTTATTACAGATTATTATTAATATTGTTGTTGTTTTTTTATGGTTATAATTGTTGTTCTTGTTGGTGACTTGGTGTTATTATAGTCCTTCGTATATTATTATTATTATTATTATTATTATTATTATTATTTACTAATTTATTTATTATTACTATTTCTTAGTATTATTGTTACTACTAAATTTACTATGATTATTATTGGGTGGTTATGCATAATAGTGGTTATTGTTAGTGCAACCATATTATTAGGAGTAGTTCTTAGCATTTTAGAAGTGGCATGATGCGCCCACATTTGTGGGGTAAGTAAGTTAATGTACTCATTTATTATTCAGTTTGGCATGGATTGAAAGGGAAGGAAGAATATTATTATTATTATTATTATTATTATTATTATTATTATTTGCAATCTCATCTCTCGAGTCTCTGAAGTCTAAAGTCTTTCTTTTCTCCATTCACAATTCTTGCCCAGGCACGCCACCCTCATATAGGTGTAAAATTTGTAACATAACATGCATACACAATAACACACACCTATAGTTACAGCATGGAAAGCAAATGATTAGCTATATCTTAGTTCAAGAACATTAAAGTATCTTTACCTTGAACTTATCCAAGTTCTTGAGGTAGATTGTTAGTGCTCCATGGCCACCCATTGAGTGGCCAGAGATAGATGCCCTTTTTGTATCAAGCTGTGGAAAGTGCTCATTAAGAAGTCCTGGCAACTCCTTCACAACATAGTCATACATACGCCAGTTCTTCCACTTCTCTTGGGTAGCATTTAGGTAAAATCCAGCACCTATTCCATTGAGTTCATTTATACTCTACACATGGCTCAAAGCTTAAATGCACAACTCACATTTCAATGTATGACCCCGATAACTCAAAAGCATTTTATGAAAACATGTACAGTTTTTTCTCCAATTCTACCAAGCATTTTACCTCTTGCAAGCATGACGTCCCTCACCGCTACATCACGGTGGCTTGACAAAATGGCACATTTAACATTGATATAACTATTACTATATTTATGTTGATTATGACCGGTGAGATACCTACTCCCATTTGTTTAACAGTGAAAGGACACAGTGCTTGTGATTCAAGCACTACTTAATTGATATATTAAAAAATTAAACTTTTCCTTACCAACACCAAAATCCCAGCTATCAGACTCTCCTTCTACATTAAGTCCTCCTGTGGCAAAATACATAGATAGTAAAAGTTACTCGTAGCACAGATTATGAAGTTTGTCTTATGGAACATGAATCCAAAGAGATCTCACAAAAAGCTCTTCGAGACAAGAGAAATGAAATTGAATACTACAAATGCTGTGTGTGTGTGTGTATTTATGTGTAAAGCATAGCATCATGCTCTCTAGGCAATCCAAAACTGAAGGAATTGTTATATCTTTCTTCCAAGTTTGACTTTGGTGGTCAACTTTTTAAACTTTGACCACATAATATGGAAAGAGTATATTGAATTGTGATGTAAATTTGATACCAGTAGATTCATTTTGAAATGTAGTTTTGAAATATCATACTACGTATTTTTATAATATATGTCTATACATACACAAATGGAGATATTAGTGGTCAAAGTGTGGCGTTAGAGACCATGAAAAGTAAATGTCAAGAAAGATATGGGAGAGAGGAAGTATTAATTTTAGTGAGAAGCATTAATCTGAACTGGTTGAAGTAAGGAATTAAACACACCGCTTGATGCCTCAGAGGGGTTCTTATAAGAGCAAAAAGTTTCCACCTTTTTTTCTCCATTGAAGAGCAGATGAAGATCGGTCATCCTATATGTATGTATGTAGATTATCTATGAGCATTCAAAAAAAAAGGCTTACTTGGAGATGTATCTGGTGCAATTAGTGCAAGACCCTCAGTTGAAGCAACCCGTTGGGCACCAGATTTGGTGATAAAGTTCTCATCTGTGCATGTTAGGCCAGAGAGCCAGTAAAGTACCTAAAAGCCTCATTGACAGTGCATCCAGTTATAAATAAATGTTCAGTTTAGGGTAAAAACTTCTGAAACAAAAAAAAAACTCTTCCCCAGCTCAAAATCAACTGTAAGGTTTTGTTCATTATTATTGATAACATGAAGTTTGTAAAACAGGATGACACATACTGTAGTTACTCAACAAAACATAACCCTAGGTCGGTCGAATGGCTTTCCCAAATCATGCGAAAATCGATTTCGCAGCACAGAAAAGCAACAATAGAAGTTAGATAATACTCCGTAGTACTAATAATTGCCATTTGAGGAGCCCTATCACATCGGAAAATGGAAGACTTACAGGGAATTTGTGGGAAGGAGAAGACGAAGGAGGGAAGTAGATGTGGAATGTCATGGAGCAGCCAAGGGCTGGGCTGTAGTGCTTGTATCTCTTATTGTAACCCCCAAACATCTTCGTGCTGCTGATTTCTGTGGGTTTCGTCTCCATCCTTGCCGGCGAGTGCAGTGGCCGCCGATAGTTTTTTTTTTTTGGGTGCAACTGGGAAGCGAGACTATCGTTTACTCCGGAACACTACAATCGGTCTAATCCCATTTTTTTACGGACTATCGGAGGGTGATTTCCCAATTAGTGAAATCCAATTTGGGAAATGCATTTCGAAATGGTGAAGGTGTGCCTGACAAAGTGTAGGGTGGTCAGATTTGATGCTAACAATACTGGTAGTACCGTTAATTTATCTTTTTTAGATTAACGGTAGAGCCAGTACCGTTAATCCTTGGGTTATTTATAAATATGAAATGTAATACTCCCTCCGTCCCCAATTTGATTACAAATTACGGGTTAGGAGTAATTTTTTTTACTTTTTTGAAATAATTTTATTTACAAATTGGTATATCAATAAGATATAAAAATTACATAAAAATTACATAGTAAAATTTCCTATTTTTTGTTAGGTGGATTGTATGGTGTAGGATGGTTAGTGGTAATAGATGTGTTTTTTATGTTAGGTGCATTGTATGATGTATGATGGTTCACGGTGTTAGATTAGATTTTTTTTTATTAGATAAAAGCATTAAATTTGAACATTAATAAAATTTGAACATTAATAGAATTTTTATTCATTGATGCACTACTACTGAAATTAAAAAGCATACAAATAAAACTTGTCGTACATATTTAAAAATCCCACATTGAAATTTATAATTTAACTAAGTACTCCGACGATGTCTTCGTGCTCGCATATCCATATTATTTATGAAGTGAGTGCTCACTGGCCGACCGGCCTGCGACCTTTGCCCTATAAATGGATGGACTAATTCATAACCAAGGGTAGGCCATTCAATTTCGTTTTGTAGTGGCATAACACTTCCAGAATATGCATCGAGGTAATTCCAAAGTGAGAACACTCGTGGAATAAGATCATCAACATTAATGTTGCAATAACGACATACGGCGTAGACATGCACACATGGCATGTGCAATGTGGCCCATTTCCCGCAACTGCACATTTTTTTGCATAGATGCACGACAATCTCATCTAATCTACCAGTAGCTCCAGCGTTGCCCTCAACAACAACCCGATAAATCCCTTGTTGCGGATGATGGGGGATAACATGGCAATGTAAACGATGGTCTTCCATGTGTCTCACCTCGTTCCAAATGTATTTTGGGAACTTAAATCCCGTTTGTAGCCATGTAAATCTGTTTGTATGCCTTTCTGCAAATAATTTTACTAATCGCTCGTACATCGTCTTTACAATAGCGTATACCGGAAGAGACCTACATCCCTTAAGCACATGATTGTGGCTTTCCGAAAGATTAGTGGTTAGGATTCCATATCGAGCCCCACCATCGGAACAGAGTGCCCACTTCTCTAATGGCAAAGCCAACAACCAGTCATATGCCTCCTCCCGTTGTGACTTAATTTGTTGCATTGTTCTATTGAATTCAAAGACATCTGGGGTACTGGCTGCATGATACATCAAGCCCTTCAGTTTTTTTCTATTGAACTTCTTCTGAAAATTACTTCTCAAGTGGCGCAGGCAATATCTCCTGGTGACACGTTGTTCCAATAATTGGGGGATAGTATTGAAAGCTACATCAATGCCCTCGTGCCTATCCGAAATGATGCACACTGACATATCATAAGGTACTACATAATGCATTAAATGCATCATGAACCAGCTCCAACTATCCCCGTCTTCTTTGTCAACAAGGGAATAGGCCAAGGGGTAAATCTCGTGATTTGTTGTCATTGTTACTGCCAACAACAACACCCTCTTATATTTCCCATACAAGTGGGTGCCATCAACAGAGATCACAGGAAAACAGTACTTGAACCCATCTATAGACGCTTTGAAAGACTAGAAAACGTACATGAATTGAAAAGTTTGTGGCGTTGTTGTTGGCCGCATTTGTATTTCGGCCACTGACCCAGAATTGCTTTGAATCAACGCTGCTAATAGAGGCAATAGCTTGTTATACGAATCCTCCCAGGATCCGTACAGTCGTTGAATGGCATTCGACTTAGTTAACCAACATTTCTTATACGACACAGAAACTTGAAATAAGTCGTATATATCTTTAATGATGTACCTCACCTTGTAATCAGCATCTGTAGCAATTTTAGAGAATATAATTCCCGAGATGAGCTTGCTTGTAATAAGCTTATCGTCCTTCTCTTTCGAAAAGTCTGGTCTGCATAAATGTTGACTTTTATACTGTTTGACAGTCCAAACAGATGCAACCTCTGCAGCCTGGATGAGCCATGGACATTGTTCCGAATACGTGCACTTCGCCAGCCAATAATTGCGACGCTTTGAAGAAGTCTGAAAGTGTCTATGCTCTGCAATATTGCGTAGCGCCACTGCAAATTGAAGGCTTTTGAAATCACCGTACCGATATCCAATCTGAATTTCAGGGATACGGAACGTTGGTTGTAGTGAGACTTCTTCAACGTGCCTGGGGATCGGAAATTCTAGAATTCCTTGTTCAGCAATGTTAATAGGCTCCTCTGTGTACACGTCCGGTGTGTACATAGAGACCCATCCAGATACTTCAGACTCATCTGAAGAGCTCTCTTGATCAGAATTAACAACGTACGTCGGATCCTCAGAGTCATCTTCATCATCCGTGTCTCGTGCTATGTTAGACAATCCCGCCTCATCAACTTGGTGTTGGTGATGAACTTGGTGGTGATGAGCTTGGTGGTTTTGCTCTTCCTCCATTTCTTATTCCTCGTTAGCCAACACTTCAACTTGGTGTGCATCTAGGTAAACCTCAAGTTCATCATATTCCTTCGTTGCCTTTTGAACGAAACACCTCCATGTTCGCTCCTCGGAAATGGGGAAAGGGCATGAAGCAGCATAAACTCCATCCTTGTATTTGGGATATTTTCCCCAAATGTTTTTGATGGAATTGAGATTAACTTCACCAATAGCATCAAGGAATTCATTGAAGACCTCCTCGAATGAGATATCAAGATAAAAAACAAAGGCCTTGTTTGAATGCAATGAGTACTCCACCTCATTGTTCTTGATCATTATCTCACTGTTCCAATGGGCTAGCAAGACAAAACTACCATCAGAGGCCATTTTTTGGTAAGAGGTTGTGAGAGAAGTGAGTAGATATGTGAGAGTAATGCTCGGTGGTGAGATTGTGAGAGTTAAGCAAGAAATATATAGATGAGATATTTTTTAGTTGGGTGGATCGAATGGTGTAGGATTGTTTGTAGTGTAATGTGAGATTTTTGTTTAGTTGGGTGGATTGTATGGTGCAGGATTGTTTGTAGTGTAATGTGAGATATTTTTTTTGGTGGGTGGATTGAATGGTGTAAGATTGTTTGTAGTGTAATGTGAGATATTTTTTTAGTTGGGTGGATTGAATGGTGTAAGATTGTTTGTAGTGTAGTGTGAGATATTTTTTTAGTTGGGTGGATTGTATGGTGTAGAATGGTGGTGTTAGATGAGATTTTTTGTTTGGTGGATTATATGGTGTATGATGGTTAGTGGTATTAGATGAGATATTTTTTTGTTAGGTGGATTGTATGGTGTAGATAGGAGAGGGTTGTGACAATGTTTTTTAACAATATTTTTTTTTTGTAGTGGATATGCATTAACAAATTTCTTAGGTGTAGATCGGGTGGATATTTTTTTAAGTTAACGGTACAGCCAGTACCGTTAACCTATTTTTAATTAATTTTTTTTAAATTAACGGTAGAGCCAGTACCGTTAACCTATTTTAAATTAATTTTTTTAATATAACGTTACTGGTTGTACCGTTCATTCCTGACAGCACTGATCGGGAATGCTTTTTTCTTTTCTTCACTGAACGGGAATTAATTCACTATCGGAACACTACAATCGGTCAGATCATATATGCCCAGTTCATAAAAGAGAGGATTGTGACATTTTGATTTTTTTAATCAAATTGTAGCACTTTTTTATCATAAATTAATTACTGTTTAGAATATTATAAAAATTTGATATTTTAAAATTATATTTAAAATAAAATCCAATTTTATTAAATTTACATTACTACTAAATATATTTTTTCTATAATTTGTAATCAAAAGTGACCAAAAGTCAAACTCTGGCAATCTTTTAGAGACGGAAAGAGTAATAAATTAAAATCAGATCATTCAAATAATACCAGAATGTATTATGAAATAAATTAAAAAAATGAAATAAAATATAAAAGTCTTATAGTCCCTCTGTCCTAATTTAAATTAATCATTTTGGTTTATTATGTTTGACTAAATTTATTTTCTATTCATTTTATATAAAAATTGGTGTGAAATTTAAAAAAGGATGTTAAATATTTAAAATTTACATTTAAAGTTTTCAAAACAATAACTGACATGACCATATTATTTTATTAAACGAGTACCGGACATAAGTAATGATAGTGGCTAAAGTTTGACCGCGTGAATAATAAACGAGGGCGAGCGACAGTCTCCATTTCAACGCATCGCCGCACCACAAGGGGATTCAATTTTTTTTACAATTTCAATTTTTTTTATATTTTTAACTCTATGAATACACCGTTCAAAAAAATCACCACTTCTCCAATTTCAGTGTATCCCACACTCACTCTCATCACACCGATAACTTCTTGTTCAACCAAAACAAATTGATGCAATACTCAAATTTGCTTGTTCTCCAGGCGGGAACATCAATAGGAAGGAGGATGCAAATATGGGACGACGTTGTCCCTTCCCCTTGCCCATTGGCGTGGCTCAAACGATGGCCTCTACAAGCTATCGGGATGACTACGAGTTTTTCGAAATAGGGCCCAACATTGAGGGCCAGAGCAAAGGGGTGGACAGAAGAATGATGGTTCGAAGAAGTATACTATACTCTGGCGGAAAGTTTGAGATTGGCGAGGTTCTACGTTGATGTGTCGGAGGACGTCATCATTCAGATTTTCCAACGACAACGGATGTTTTGGGCCAGTGTTGCAAAGAAGTACAGCGCCGCATGGTCCAAATGTGACCCTTACATATTTTGAAAAAACTAGGGGCAACAGCTTGGTGACATATTCCCTAATGTCGAGAAGACGCAGTCGAGAGAATGCAATTTGCCGACATTGTCTCGAAGGTGAAGGACTCTTTTTCGACGCAGAACATAGAGTTTTCAAGTTCTGACCTCAGTCTTACATATGTGCAGTCAAAACAACAACCGCATGCTCAACAACACCATTTTACATAGGGCCTCGCGGTAGTGAGCTGCCATATGTCGCAGGTTGAACTAGTGTGATTGCACATGTCAGAAATTTCATCTTTTGAGCCTCAATTTAGAACAATTAACACATGTAAATGTTCATGGATGTTAAATACGAAATCAATTCACCAAATAACGCTTGAATCATGTGTTCTATCTGTTTAATTCAATTAATAAATCCCAGGACCACGACAAACAATTCCAACCAAATATTCATACAGTCAATCACGATAAACAATTATGAACAGGAATTTCAAACCTAGATGCATTTTAGTGTTAGATGTCCACGAACTCACCTTGATTGATTCAATTCGCTTCAAAAAGTGTCGCTCCTACAATGTTTATGAAATCAACCGTACCCCCACTACTCGAACCCTATTGTCGTTGCCCGGACACTAAAGGGTACTATCGTCGCTTGCTCCGACATACCCGCCGCTATCCCAACAACTACTTGGAACTGTTAGTGAGACACGAGAATATTGATAACTTTTCACGAAATAAAAATCATAGGGATGAAGTAAAGTGCGGAATTCAAAGCGAAAGGAAAGAACACACCGTATTTATACTGGTTCATCATAACTTTTGGCTAATCCAGTCTTCCGATCGACTCTCTCGAGCTGCACTACTTCCGTTAAGCTTACGGGTTCTTAACAAACTGGTACAACCTGAGAACTCGAGTCACACGAGCTTCAATACACTTGCTTGGGCTCGGACTCCTCACCCAAGACTTCACACCGCTCGGGCTACTCGCCCAAGACTTCAACCACTAAGATTACGAGTTCTTATTAGCAGACCTAATGCTCAATGAGAGGAATTGGTCTTCTCTAGAACCGCTCGGACTCCTCACTTAAGACTTCACATCGCTCGGACTACCAACCCAAGACTTCAACCACTAAGACTACGAGTTCTTGTTAGCAAACCCAATACAATAGCACCATTGCACTCTTCACACTCCAAGAAATAGAATAGAAGAAGACTTGAGAGATTTCTGTGAATAAATGGAGAAATGGATTCTCCTTATATAGAAGAAAGAACAAGGAAGGTGACAAACTTGTATCGATCGATTGGCGGAAGTGCGCAAAAACGGCGATTCAGTCTGATTTACACGACTCTCCCTGATTGGGACTAATTTGGTCCTAATCATGGTATACTTTTTAGTCCAACTTTCTCTGAATTAAAATCCTATTGCACCGTTGCGATCAGATAGCCAAACTCTACACAACGATATAATTTTCACAATTAATTGACAAACTTTGTAAGTCACTTATTGTTGGATCCTTCTCATTAATTAATTAATTCTAATAGGTCTATTTTCGAGGCGTTACGAATGCAGCTTTCTAATTTTTCGATCTTGCAAACAATTTTTTTAACAAAGAGAAAGGGATAAAGAACAATGAGACCATGATCGATGTCAATCGACCATTGATGATGAAGACCGGTGGTGACTCAGGATCTTAAAAGAGACCTTAGTTGTGATACTATGATACAATTTAATAATAACACACACAGAAATATATATATATATATATATATATATATATAAAGATACCATTCAATTTTACAAGGGGCTCCTTGTACGTACATACATGCACATAGGTGCGCGTTTCATCTTTAAATTCATCTTCACTAAAGATAGAAATGGGGTACGGTTTTGGTGGACAAGAAGGATTTTCCCCTATTCTAATTGTATTCCTTATGGTGGGTACAAAAGAAAATGCAGTGAAAAATGTAAACAATGAATGAGAGCAAAAAGGTAATAAGCAAAATGAGATTTGCGGTGTTCAACCGTTTGGTGATAGTTGTTAATAATCCGGCTTTGCAAGAGTCACAAAAATAGCACAGTTTTCTTGGATCATTATTCCAGTTGGCACAATCTGTGTTTGTTTGATTATTGTTTGATGAGGATGATGATGATGATGTCCATTTTGTTGGGCTCACAAAAGTGTATCCACATTTCGAAGGCGGCATACAACACCGAGACTGCAACCAATTTAAATTTATTTGTAATAAGTAGCCAATAAAACAAATATGATCTACAAAAAATATACTCCCTCTGTCTGGAAATGTTTTTTCCATTTGAATTTTCATAGTTTCTAAAGTTGCACTTTGACCATTAATATCTATATCTATACATAGATGTATTTTATAAAAATTTGATATTTAAAAACTATGTTTAATTAGAAATATATCGATACTAAATTTATATCATAATACAATGTGTTTTTTCACAAAGCGTAGTAAAAAATTATAAACTTTGGCCAAGAAAATTCAATTGTGAATAACATTTTTGGACAGAGGGAGTACTAATCTCTTTTTATGACGGTTAGGAATTCAATTCAGGTCATAAAAAGCTAACTTCATTTCTCCCCCATACTCATTTTGTTCCATAAAACGGTTTTTATTTTTCACGTAGTTAACTTTCTAATTTTTCCTTGATGTAATGAGTAAAAATAAAATGTGGTTGATAGATTAATAGTAAAAAATATGATATGATAAGTAGGATAAGAAAAAGTAAGATAAAAATAGCTTTTTAATAGAAAATGAAAATGTTTTTGGTAGAATAGAAAAAATGCAGGAGAAGTGTTTTAAGAAAGGGAATGAGAGTCTATAAATGAGAGATGCTAGGAGTAGACCAAAAGTGTACCCCACATGTCTCTTTACGTACGTACATTTGGTGTACCCATAGCATTTTCATATATAAATACCTGCAAGGGAGTGAGTTTTGCATTGAATAGTTGTTGAGCTGAGTTGTAAGTGTCATCCAAGGGAGCACACCAATTAGAGGGTGTGAGACAATTTACGATCTGATCCCACTGGTAGAAGCCGCTAAGCCTCCGGCGAAACCACAACGAGTATTCCCGGTAAGCCGGCCCCTGCGGGTGTTCCGGGCCCGAGGACGACGAGTGCCTCGTGATGACGAACAAGAAGATGATAAAACCAAGCATGCCTAAAAGCAGACAAAGCATAGAGAAAAAGTAGGCGAAGAGAGGCCCAACACTCTTGAAGGACATTCCCAAGCAGCCAAAGAGGCCAAAGACGAACATGAAAAGTGCCAATAAAATGAATCCCAGATGGGTGCCAAAGTTGGCACAGGATTGGCCTAACCAAATGCCTGCAACCATGATGGGGATGGAGAAGATCACCTGCAGGGGGTATGTACTTCTTCTGAGCCCATCTAGAATCGGGTTTTCCATTTTTTTTTAAATTTGAGTTATTTATTTGTTGCGCTCAATTTGGTTTAAGGGATTGATTCCGTGGGTTAAATAATTGTAGCCAATTTACTTCCGTGGGTTAAATTCCGTGGGTTAGTAATTCCAGTAATTCGAAGCCATAACGGAGAAGCAAACGAAAGAATAAATGTGGGCATGAGTTGGAAGACACGCTAATTAAAGATTCAAGGCCAATTATTACTCCCACCGTCCAAAAATTAACTTTCCAGTTTGATTTTTGTAGTCAAACTTTTTAAACTTTGACTGTTTATTACGGAAAAAACACATTGAATTTTCATATAAATTTATTAGCAATAGATTCATTTTGAAACATAAATATGTAATTTTTATAAAATATATTTATATAAAAATTGAGATATTGATTGTCAAAGTGTCGCATTGGAGATCGTGAAAAGTTAAATGAGAAGTTAATTTTAGGACGAAGGGAGTATTATTTAAACATGCAAATTAGACTAGTAATGAGCTTTTGTACTTTCTTTTTTTTGGCATATTTGTAGCGCTCTACCCCAGTTCACTCCAAATCAATTGTGTCCCAGCGCCACATCAGCACTAACTGTACTCACTATCTCACTCAATTCATACCCGTAGTGTCATTACTCTTCTATTTTTATTTAATAATACTTACTTTTTTGAGTATTTGTCTAATTTTGATGACTTTTTTCGGTCAATTATTTTCAACCTTGACCTATAATTAAATAAAATATACTTCTCACATCCCATAAATGTGTTCCTATTTATACTTTTAGAAAATATAAGGGGGGATAATTTTGTGTTACTTTCCAAAAATACCCATTATGTGATGGATAGAAGTTGGATATGATGTGTAGATTATTACTAAAAAGGTAGGATGTGATATGTAGGTTAAGAATCAATAGGGGTAAAAGTAGTTTTTTGATAAAAAATGAAAGTATTTTTGTGGGACAAGAAAAAAAGAAAGGGGAAAGAATTTTTGGGACGGATCGTATATTTTATACTCCCTCCGTCCCACAAAACCCTTCTTGTTTGAAAAAAGGTGCGCCTTTAAAATAAGTAATTGTGGTATTATTGTCTAATAGTGACCCATCTATGCTACACATCTCATCCTACTCTATAATAAAGTAAGATCAAAATTAGAAAATCTCAATAAAATTACTCATTTTAAGGGTGCCTTTTTTTTAAAAAAGGAAGAATTTTATGGGACGGGGGTGAATTATTAATTAGATAAAATAATATTTTGAAAATATTTGATATAATAAACCAAATAAAAGTATGTTTGCATCAATATCTAATATCATTTTATTTAGTTTAAAGTCAAAGTTTACCAATTTTTACCAAAAAAATCAAAGGTGGACAAATACTTAGGAACGCTAACGCTAATCTCTAACGCTATTTCCAAACAGGCTCATAGTTATTTCAATGCAGAAGTGTTTGAGCTAAAATATAAGTGAGAAAAAATGTCAAAATTTTATATGCAATATTCATGTCGTTGGGTAGATTTTGTCAAACAACATATTATTTATAATGTAATGACTTACGTACAAAATTTAGTCTACTATTGTAATCCAAGCAGTATTTCATAGTAGAAAACTTTATCATATAGATCTTGTCGCTTTGTGTAATATCTTCGATATTTCATAGTGGTTACGTAGTTCAAAGCTTAGTCATCTACTATCGTAATTCAAAATATGGTAAAGCGTATTGCAGTAGTAATGTGTCCGTTCATTTCAAAATCAAGTTTGAATTCAAAATAAATCTCGAACAAATTTGTAAGTTAAAAACGCAAAGGAAAAAGAATTAGAAGCTCATTGGGGGCCATTGCCGCCCATAGAGAACAAGTGCATCGGCACATTTATTTTATATTGAGAAAAAATATCACTAAATAGGACTAACACGTAAGTTATTTCGTAATGCACCACCTAAACCTTTTTATTCTCTGAATAGGACTTAATAATATCTAGTGGGAGGAATAATGTCCAGTGAGGCGAATATTTACTTGCATGAATAATGACTAATGGATAATGATTAATAGTTCTACATTAGGAAATAAAAACATATATTCATATATTAAGAAGTCATTATGTTTTAGTTTTATTTAAGTAAATCTCTCCCTTAAAAAAGAAAGGAGCGTATTAATCGAGATCCCTCCAAAAAAAGATGAAGTGAAAAAGGAAGAACAATGTTTGACATCACAAAGGCAACGAGCAAGTTGCGATTTGCGGTTTTTAATCTCTTGGTTCTAGTGGCTAGAAATCCCGCTTTGCAAGAATCGCAATAATAGCATAGTTTTCTTGGATCATTGCTCCACTTGGCACATTCTGGCAATTTTGTTTAATTGTTCGTTGAAGACGCCCATTTTGTTGGGCTGACATAAGTGTATCCACACTCCGGGGGCGGCATACAACACCCGTACTCTGTGGTCAAAGTTTGTCAATTTTAGCCGAAAAAAAATTCAAAAATGATCAGAACATCACTTGGCTCAATTAAGAAAGTTATACCTGCAGAGGAGTGAGATGTGCAGTGAAGAGTTGTTGTTGAGATGAGTTGTAAGTATGATCAAGGCGAGCACACCCAACAGAGGGAGCGAGACAAGCCACGGCCTCATTCCATGCGTTGAAGTCGCTCAGCGATCGGCGATACCATGACGAGAATGTTGGGAATTAAAACACACAACACACACAAATATCTGCGAGAATCAAGAGAGAAACGGAACACAAACGACACACAAGAATTTAACGTGGTTCGGTTTCCCTAATCCACGGCTGCAACAGGAGGATTTTCTTATTTCACTTGTGGTACAGATTACAAGTACAAGCCCTCTATATATAGGGGAAAAAACTAGGGCTACGCATAACTGGGCCGGGCCGACAAACAAGCCTCCACAAAGCCCAACATTCTCCCACTTGGAGGCTTGATAAACATCAACTGCCATCCGCCACGATCGCCTGTACATCGAGTAATCTTCATCAGCTCTCCTGTTGCAGCGGCCCTATCATCAGACAACTGAAAGGCCCGTTGAAGCTCTCCCAAGCTCTAACACATCAGTCACGGCAAAATCTGCCCTGACTCGTCCTCGGTCCCTACCGGCTCCCACTGCAGACGCACACTGCCGGATCCTGGAACATCTTGAGAACAAACACTCTCCATACTCAGCAAGAAATTTTCTGAAGATGTTCCAACAGCTGGAATACTGGTTCTCCTGACCCACTGTCTTCTAGGCAACTTGGCTGAAGCGCCTCTTGAGCTCCCACTGCCACAAATACCTCTGACTGGCCTTCTTGAACCTTTCCTCGCTCGTTCATCCTGAGTCTGACCAGTGGCTCTAGGTTTCTCTCTTGCACAAACAACCTTATTCTGCCCACGAGACTCTGTGGACCGGAGTTTGTTTCTCTTCTGAACTGGGACGGTCACTCCCTCAGATGGTAACTCGACCATATACAACGGACCACTCTTCCTTCCGCGGGCCATAACAAGATTTCCCTTCACGACCTTCCACTGCCCATCTCTGAACTTCACCTCGTGTCCTTGTTCGTCCAACTGCCTGACAGAAATCAAACTTTTCTTCAAGGCTGGAACCACTCTGACATCCTTCAAAGTCCAAAGACCGACTGAGGTCTTCAACACCATGTCACCCATGCCCGTCACCTAAAGAGCTCTGTCGTCTGCTAGTCGTACCTTTCCAAAGTCTCCAATAACCAGATTCTGCAATGCTTCACCGCTGTGGGTGGCATGAAATGAAGCACCAGAATCCATGACCCAGGAATCCACATTGCTTTCCTCACAGCAAGTCAGAGCGACCTCCTCGTCACTCGCAGAGCCTTGAGCAATGTTTACTTTCTTATCATTCGGACATTGATTCCTAAAATGCCCCACCTCCTTGCATTTCCAGCACGTTACACCTGAGCTGTCACGAGTCTTCGACTGACTCCTTTTTCTGTTCCTGCTCCCACTACCTCTGTTATATCTTCTGCCTCTACCAACATGAAGCAATTCACCAGATGACTCCCCCGAACTCTTTCTTCTGACATCCTCGCCAACAACGAGATCTCGAATCTGATCAAAGGTGAATCCATCGGGTCCCACTGAACCGGTAACTGCTGTAACCGTTCCGGACCAACTATCAGGTAAAGACGATAGCAGTAGTAAATCTTGAACTTCATCATCGAACTTAATGCCCACTGACAAAAGTCTGGCTAATATCGAATTCAACTTGTTGATATGCTCGGTAACTGAAGTGCCTTCTTTCATCCTTGTGTTCACCAGCTCTCTAATCAGAAAAACTTTATTCGCTGCAGATGGCTTCTCGTACATGTTAGACAACGCGTCCATAATTCCCTTCGCTGTCTTCTCCTTCAGAATGTTGAACGCAACATTCTTGGTCAACGAGAGACGAATCACGGACATCGCTTTCCGATTCAAAACTGCCCAATCTGCACCCGACATTTTTTTCTCGCTTGTCACCTAAAACCACGTCCAAATCTTTCTGAACCAGCAAATCTTCAATTTGCATCTTCCACCAACTGAAATTTGTACCATCGAACTTCTCAATTCGGAACTTCCCGTCTTCTGCCATCTCAAACGACTGGACGAGATACCCGGTACAAAAAATTCAGATCTTGGTAATTTTGTCAGAAAATCAGGCCCTCCACACCAATTAAATTAGCCAAAAATAAATCAGCCCAATATCCCCGCACAAGAAAGTACGGCCCAAACCAATTCAATCCAATTGAGCCCAAAAAAATGTTTGACCAATTAAAACTCAAATTTGGCCCACTCACTTTTTTTTCTTCAATTCTTTGGCTGCTGCCCAACCCCCACTGCCTGGCCTCTTTTCCTTCGCACCTGCCAAGCCAAAAAAAACTTCCTTTTTTCTTTCAATTCTGCTATAAACGGCCCAACTTCACTGCGCTAGGGCGACGCACTTCAGCAGCAGAACTAGAAGGCGGCGCGGCTCTCGGCGGCGACCAGGACGGCGGCGGTGGCTCGGCCTGCGTTGGCGATCCCTAGAGCTCGCTCCTGCCGCGGCTGTTTGGCGTTACTCCCGGCGGCTCTGCAACTGAAGACAGCAGCGACGGCAGCTCGAACAAGGGACCGGCAGCGCACCAATTGGTTCGTGGCTGAACCTCTCCGGACAGCGGAAATATGCGGCGCTGGACCGACCAGCGGCGGATCTCCCTTCGATGCTGCGGTCCCTTCTCTGCTCAAACCAGTGGCAGTTCTCAATGCGGCGGCGGCGGACGCGATTCTGGTACGACGGCTCCTCTGCGCGCGGCAATCGGTGGCACAAGCTTCTCAACACGGCGGCAGCTCCACGATCTTAACGGCAATCTCAGATTGGAAAACGGGAATCTCAGATCTCTCCAGGCGGCTCAGCACGCAGAGATCTGAAAAACCCTAGGCAACAAATTTCTCACAATTTGCGATCGTGTTGAATAACCTCGCTCTAGTACCACTTGTTGGGAATTAAAACACACAACACACACAAATATCTACGAGAATCAAGAGAGAAACGGAACACAAACGACACACAAGAATTTAACGTGGTTCAGTTTCCCTAATCCACGGCTGCAACAGGTTGATTTTCTTATTTCATTTGTGGTACAGATTACAAGTACAAGCGCTCTATATAAAACTAGGGCTACGCACAACTGGGCCGGGCCGACAAACAAGCCTCCACAAAGCCCAACAGAGAAGTGGTCGAGGCGGTATTCCTCGTAATTATTATTAGCACGGTGGTTGGGCTGAGGCAGCGGGGAGTACCTCGCGACGACGAAGAAGAAGATGATGGAACCAACCAAGCACGAGTGGCAACAGAGGAAACTTTAACATAAGGTAGGCAGAAAAAGCGTCCTTACACTTGGAGGACAAGGCCATGAAGGCAAAGAAGAAGCCAATGACGAACATGAGAAATCCCAATACAAAGAAACCCTGTTCGAGGCCATCGCCGGCACAAGAGGGGCCTAGCCAATAGTATGTTGCCATGACGGGGATTTAGATGATCACCTGTAGGGCGCAGGCAATGCTTCTAACCACATCTACAGGTTTTGCCATATATGGCTGGCTAGCTAGTAGCTAGTTCGATTGATCGTTTGAGTTTATTAGGGTTTGAGGAAAAAGAGTTAGTTTGATTTGATTTGATTTCTCAAGGATTCGTTCGTTGTTAATTAAGGGATATATATATATATATATATATATATATATATATATATATATATGGATCTCAATTCCCAATCCCATGGGGTTAGTTTAAGGAAATGCATGACCTTTTTTTTATAGCAAAGATTATTACTCCCTCCGTCCCAAAAAGTTTTTTATGTTTCATTTTTTGCGCATCCCATAAAACACTTATATCCTGCCTTGAATGCCAAAAAAATTTTCAAAATAACTTCTACCCACAATAAACAAGAAATGTTATAAATTTTGGGCATTTTAAATGTCGGTAGAAGTGTTTTATGGGATTCGCAAAAAATGAAACAAGAAAGACTTTTTGGGACGGAGGGAGTATTAGACTAAAGGATGCACTTGGCGTCGATTTAGGAGGAGTCAATTTTAAACAAAATAGCAACAATTAACATCCTACATGGACTAGGAAGTGTTTATTTTGAGTAAATTTTCTAAGAACATAATTCATTTCTCAATGTAAGACTTAAAATTCTTTACTTTCTAAATAGAACTTAATAATCTCTAGAGTGATGAATAATGTCCATTGATGGTGGACATTTACTTGAATAATGACTAATAGATAATGACCAATGATTCTACATTGGGAAATAAAAACATATGGTACCATCGTCTGCTACTTCTTTTGGCGGTGGCAGGCTACGGGCGGTACAAAGGTACCGTGACACGGTACTGAGGTACCGTAACGGGTGCCGTCTAGAACCTGAAATTTTCCAGAAAACCCGATTTTAGAACTTGATGGGAATAAAAATTGGTATATAATATAAGATCTTGAGTTGAACTAATTAATCGATTGGATTCATCAATGTTTTAATGTGCTTCAACCCAAGTGTCTTATGGCTCAATTCGATGATTCTTGACCCATCAGAAAAATGCTATCATTAGTGAAGGAGGAGAAGAATTTGAGAGAAAGAAAGATAGAATCAAGGTTTGGGAGGAATGATTTGTATATCTATTTCTTGATAACTCTAGTGAGATTCTATGGAGAGTATTTATAGATAAAATATGAAGCATCTAACCATCTAAGTAATCATAGTACAAAACCATAGGCAGGTTTAATAAAATACTCCCTCCGTCCCGTGAAACATGAGAGTTTTGCTTTTTAGGAGAGATTTAAGGGGAGTGTATTTTAGTATTGAATTTCCAAAAATGTCCTTTGATATGATAGGTAAAAGTATGATTTGATGAATAAATTATTAGTAAAAAGATATGATGTGATAGTTAGGGTATGAAAAAGTAAAGGGTAAAAGTGACTTTTTAATAGAAATGAGAAGTGTTTTGTGGGACGGATAAAAAAAGAAAGGAGAAAGGTTTTATGAGACGGAGGGAGTATGAAAGAAAATCCTTCAAGGAGTGATATATAATTTCACTCCATATATATAAAGTATAAGATCTGTTGTATGTATAGGATCGCACCTCTAAATTATACAGAGTATATATAATATTAAATAGTTATATACTACTCCGTATTACGATAGATCATTCATTCCAATTGTACTCCTGAGGATCAATGCATGCCAAAATGATGTTAAAAACCCAAACAATGAGTGCCATCACAAAGGTAATAAGCAAGTTGCCATTTGCTGATTTGAATCTCTTGGTGATGGTGACCAGCACCCCGGCTTTGCAAGAATCACAAGAATAGCACAGTTTACTCGGATCAACGTTCCACCTCGCACAATCAACATTTGTCTCATTATTATTGTTCCTTGTCCCATTTGTTGGGCTCGCAAAAGTGTATCCACATTGCGGAGGCGGCATACAACACCCCATCTGTACATAGTAGTCAAAGACTGTCAATGTTCGACAAAAAAAAGTTCAAACATGAAGACTTTTTAGAGGCCGAAGGAGTGTGTGTATATATTAAAAAAATTTATCATTTCTATTAAAAAGTCATTCTTACCTCTACTAATAATTTTTAACTAACATATCGCATCACACATTTTCACTATAAATCAATCAATCACATACTCCATCCGTTTCTCAAAACCCTTCCTCTTTCATTTTTTTATTTTTCTTAAAACACTACCCCTTTCTATTAAAAAACCACTTTTACCCCTACTTTTTCATACCCTACCTATCGCATCATACTTTTCACTAACAACTAAACTATCACATCTTACTTTTACTCATCACATCAATGGCAAAATTGGAAAGTCAACTACAATTTAACACTTCCTTTTCTTCCCCCAAAGTCAAAAGAGGAACTCTTTTGAGAAACGGAGGTAGTATTACTTTTGTCCATCACATCTAAGGGCATTTTTGGAAAGTCAATATTAAAACACACTTTCTCCAAACCTTTTATATACATCCTCCGTCCCATAAAGTGTTACCCATTTTGACTAAAGTTGAAATTAAGAGAGGGATAATTTTGTGTTGACTTTCCAGAAATACCCTTGATGTGATGGGTAAAAGTATGATGTGATGTGTAGATTATTAGAAAAAAAGTATGATGTGATAGGTAGGGTTTGAAAAAGTAAGGGGTAAAAGTGGTTTTTTAATAGAAATGGGTAAGGAATTGTGCGACACAATTTTTTTGAAACGTGTAAATCTTTTTGGGACGGAGGGAGTATTAAAACTTAAAAATCGGAAAGGTTTCGTGGGAAGGAGGGAGGGAGGGAGTACGCATGTATAGTACTTACCTGCAAGGGAGTGAGGTTTGGAGTTTGTTGGGAGGAGTTGTAAGTGGTGGTGTGATCCAAGGAAGCACAGCCATTAGTGGGAGCGAGGCAGTTTGCGATCTGATCCCACTGGTAGATGCCGCTGGTAACCTTGCGGCGATAGAAGCCGGAGAAGTGGTCGAGGGGGTGTTCCTTAATGTAAGCCGCCCCCGCGGCCTCAGGCTGGTTCGCCACCGCCTCTGCTGGGACGACGACGACCGATGAGTACCTGGTGTATTTTGACCATTTAATGATAACAACAATCATGCATATCAAGGGAACAACCATGAGTACGAAGTATGCAATGGCAGCCCTCCCATCCTTGCAGCCAAACCCGATGCACCCAATGAGGCCAATGACCAGCATCGCAATTCCGATTACAATGAAAGGCTTGTTGAAGTGAAAGTCGACACAATAGTTGGATAGCCCAACGCCTGTCACTATGATAAAGATGGGGATGATCAACTGTATGAGGCACGTGATTGCAAAACCCACATTTAGAGCTGTTTCTCTATTTGAGGTTGCCATACTTTCCAGTTTACCTACTGCGCTTACGTTTCAGGTTGTCTGATTTACTCTCTCAACTCTCAAGTTTACGTTGGGTTGGTTGGGGTTTTATAGGAATGGATTCCATGGGCCGGGTTAAATTGTCCGGCCTTTTCCCTATTCCAACAATTCCACTCCTTTGTTTTTTTTTTCATGGAGGAAAAAAGAAAAGAAAAATAGCAATAAATCCACTTGTGTCAACTTCTAAGAATAGAAGATTCATATTTCGCATATAGACATTAAAAATACAGAAATTTAATGTTGGATTAGTTTTTGATTTGCCTAATTCTCTCTATAAAGAGTTGTAAATAATGATAACCTCTTTTCAAACTTTCAAAAAAGTAACTAAAAAAATGTTGACTTTCAAAAAAGTAACTAAAAAAATGTTGCACAGGTTTGAAAACGTGTACCCAGACCCTCTTTTTTTAAATTTGTTAATAAAATCTTTACAATTTTAAAAGGTTGCACCTATACCCCTTTGTTTCCCATAGTTTGATATTCACGGGTCAAAATTGCATCTTAGGCCCCGTTTGGTACATTGAATTCAAAATATGAAATTAGAATTGATGACTTCAATTCTAATTCTGGTGTTTGGTAGCAAAAAACTTATGTGGATTTGGAATTGATAGTACAAAAAATGAATTGGAAGAATGGTTGAATTCAATTCTATGAAATTCAATCTCATGTAATTTCAATTTCAATCCCATTCTAATTCCTTCAATTCTGTATACTAAACGGATCCTTAAAGTTTGATGGATGAGGGATGACATTGATGTTCATTTTTTAAAGGATAGAGACACTAGAATTATTAAACTCTCTTTGGCACACAGAATTGAATTGAATGAAATTAAATTCTAATTTAATTTTAAATCTTTATTTGGTATAATTAACAAGTTGATATAGAACTGTAGTTTGATAATCGACTGTCAGCCCTCTCTGAAGTTTGATAATCGATTATCAGAGTGTGACAATCGATTATCAGCCCATTCTGAACATCACACAGTAGATTATCAGAAGTGACAGTAGACTGTCACTCTACACTATTGAAGAAAATGAAGCTAATAGCTAATAATTGAATTTCCTATCATATATTAATCAATTGTTATTTAGAAAATATGATTTTTGAGTTATGAAATCCTATATTTTGATACCAAACCATTATGATTAATAAAAGGATGATTTCTTGGAATAAATATGGTATTTTAACAACTTAAAGGGATTTTATGTGATGCATGACGGTAAGCTAGGGTGTTAACACTCGATACTAGGGCGCTGATTGTTATTAGTTATTATGATGATTGATTGATTATTCATTTTTATGAATATTATGGATTAATGATGATGAATATTCTGGATGAAATGATTGTTGAACTAAGAGTATGAATTGATGAATAATGTTGTTAAGGATATCTAGAAGAACTTTAAGATATACCTATTAGCTAATTAATGTTAAGACTATCTAGAAAACTTCTAGAATAGATCTTAGAATGAACTTATGAAAACATGAATAGTTGATGAATTAGATATAAATTCATAAACGGGATTCGTAGACCAAACTAGAGGATTACTCGTTGGGAATGCCCGATCCATTGTTGACCAATCGCTATATTTTTGTTGCCTTAACTGACTACAGTTAAGTGTCCGAAATCATTTGCCTTAAACTAGTGATAGTTTAAGTGTCTGATTGCCTTAACTGACTATAGTTAAGTGTCCGAAATCAATTGCCTTAAACTAATGATAGTTTAAGTGTCTGATTAATAATTGCCTTTTAAGAATGTGATTATGGAAATTATGATTTGGCCTTAGACTGAGAATAGCTAAGAGCATTGTTATGATTTGGCCTTAGACTAAGAATAGCTAAGAGCATTGTTATGATCTGGCCTTAGACTAAGAATAGCTAAGAGCGTTGTTATGATCTGGCCTTAGATTAAGAATAATTTACGAGCACTATTGGATTAATATCTGAATTGAATAAAATGTGTTGATATGAACTGAATAATACCAAAACTGTGAATGTCTGAAATGAACATTGGGTGCATGATATCAAATGATTTGATTATGAATTTAGATTCAGTTTATATGGATGTTCGACGCATTAGATATGCTTACTCAGCTTTACCGCTGAGCGTGTAGTGTGTTTTATTTGCTACACGCAGGTAAGCAGAAAGCACAATGTGATCCTGGCGGCAGATGGGGCGAGATTGTCGGGATGGATGTGACACGTTTTGAAACAATTTATGATATGTCAATATTAAAATCGCTTCCGCAAATGGATGGACGACTCAGAGGCAGTAAGTTGGGGTCATCAATGACAAGTCGGATGATTTTACTCACTCATCCAGCCAGGAGTTGGATCTTTATGATTTAATTGGAACTCTATTCCTAACCAAAGTAGTCTGTTTGTAAGACGTGCCTCAGCCAATTACAAGTACGGTGAAAAGGTGTCCTGGTCCGGTTGTAGTAATATTGTTCGCCCAACACCAGACCAAGAGCTGAGAGCCCGGCTCATCAGTTGGAACTATGTTCCTACCTAAATAGTTGTCTTGTGGAGTAACGCCCAAGCGGAACGCAAGATAATGAAATATGGATCTTGGCCCACTAGAGGTTTCGCCGGAAA